TCTCCGCAACAAACCTCAAATTCGTTAAAGGGACAAAATATATTTTGCCCAAAACGGTTACACTCTCACTGCTCTTTCTGTCCTGGTCTATCTATACACTCTTTACCCTTTTATCCTACTCACTTGTCTCATTTGACGAGTTCGTAGTTTGGTGTGGAGAATGGCAGCATTCACTGACGATGCCAACAGCGATGCCGATGAAACATCCGAGAATGTACCAAATCGACTGTCTGATGTTGGGAATCATAATAGCTCCTTCGGACGAGGTGTGTTCCACTAAGTCGCCCACTTCTATACATCTTGGTATTCATATATTCCAAAAAATATCTTTCTTCGTAAATGCTGCCTTCTCGCCTTGACAACATGACGCAGGGAAGCTCCGTGCGGATGGATCGGAGCTGAAAGGTCTTCTTCATACAAACCAACAGTTAAAAGTCTGAAGCGATCCTCCTTCGGCGTCAGATGAGGCCGATTCCCGATCAGATCGCTTCCTTCCGCCCACCGGATCGAAATGAAAGATGGCCCATCTTTCATCCAACACGCACCACTCAGCTTCTCTTCAGGTCATCTATTTTGCATTTGGTCCTGTTCGAAGGGAAACATGTGACAAAGTTTGCTCAGACTGCTGATCCCGTCGCGATCAGATCTCATCCGACACATTCGCTCCGATCAAGTCCACTAGCGTCGAGGTCGAGAGGTCAATTGGTTGGAACCAGTCACCGATTTGGCGTTAACGTCGAGACAAACATTCACGACAGCGTGTAGAAATGCCGACCATGAACAGGACAGACCAGCAGCGCCGGCTCGATGCCTCCGCAGACAAGGACGCAAGCCGGCCAGCCAGCCGAACAGCCGGCCAGCCGGCCAGCCAATCGCCGCGTCGGCTGCCGCGGACAGACTCGAACGAGGCAACCCGACGTGGGGCCGACGCTGTGACGTCGGTTTGCGGCGAGACAGACGAGACAGCCCAACAGCCGCGTCCGGTCTCCGTCATGCGGTCTCATTTGTTCGCTCTCTCACCCTCGACTGGCGGTGTCGGCATGTGTTTTCCGCTCCCGCCCACATCCGGCCCGAATCCACCGGCCATTCCGACAGACAGTTCGAGCCCGACCTCGCCAGAGTGCATCCCCGCCTCATAAATTGTCGCACATGACGACGCTGGTTTTATAGCCGAGCCAAGCTGGGACGGGGAGTGGGATGGAGAGTGGGATGGGGAGTGGGATGGGGATGGGAAAGGGGGAGGAGGGATGGGGTAGGGAAAGGGGATCCGGCCACTTGTCCGGCGTCGCTGTTGAGCTGACGAGAGAGCCGAGCGGGCCCATTGAAACAGCCCCGGATCGGGGACCGTTTCAGCCGGACAGTCGACTTGTATCCTCCGAAAGTGTCTGTGTGCGATGACGACAATACGTCGGTCCGTCAATCCGTCGGTCCGTCAATCCGTCGAGGCGGCGTTGTCCGCCCTCGCGACACCGACACAGACGAGTGTGTCGTCGTTATGGCTACACCTCAGCGCGAGAGGAGCAAACAGACATGACAAACGGGGCAACCGGGACAAACGAGACAAACGAGGCGTACAGACATTCTCGTGTCGGCATGGTCACAACAGACCGACAAAACCCACTCGGACATGGCATCGTTCCTGCGAGGGCCGGTGCAAAACATGCAGACTGTCAGTGCCGACCTGTCGCTTGGGCGACTGGGGGCGGGAGCATTTGAAAGCGGGAATCCAACGACACTCGGCGATCCGTCAACCCGACTGGGAGATGAGAAGACGAATTGAACGTCTGCTGCCAAGGCCAGAGAATGATGGGACAAGACAAGATGGCAAGACGTCTGCACAACTTAACTTCTCCCACCCTCTCTCTCTCTTTCTCTTTCTCTCTCTCTCTCTCTTTCTATTACTCCAAATTAGGCCTGGGACTTTATTGGTACAGACGTCATCTGGCGCATGCGTGCAAACGTACAAAGAGAGCAGAGTGTGCAGAATAAACTTGGAAAAAGACAGTTTCAGTCATCAAGGACGGATCGAGATGGTGAGTGCCCACAATCAGATGAGTAGGCCTCACGTTCCTATTGAAGCTCATTTAATTTCATTTTCAAAGAGAGTGGCTAATCAATTTATAAATAATACATATAATTGCTAAACATAATAATACTAATAATAATAACAATAGAAGAACTTTAACATGAATAACAATGGAATAATGACGCTATTATTATCGACACAAATACTACTACTATTACTAGTAGTAGTGGCAATATACTATGTTAAATAATAATATTAATGATTGTATTGTTATCATCACTAGTAGTTGTTAGTCCAAAACAAATGAGCTACTTAGGCGAAATGGACAAAGGGAGCCATTCCTACAACGAGTCGCCTCAGTCTCAACATCACCCACGACGGGAACCGAACTCGACATTCATTAGCG